TGGACGAAGCCCCGTCACTCTTGTCAAACTAACGGAGTCATCTTTTCCCTTTTTAAATATTTTTAAATAAGATTGGTTAAGCTATGGGCTTAAGTACATAATAGATCCAAAATGATTTGGGGGAGGGTATAACCCAATTCGAAGGTAGTGCATTTTTTCTATCTGTCCAACAATCCGGTCCGCAATGAAATTGGCCTCTCTAAATTAAAGGCTAATACCATAAAAAAAAAAACCCCAAATCGGTACATTTATGATAAATTTGCTCTGAACTAATTTTTTTATCACAAAAAATTACAAACAGATACACCTATGACAAATTTACCCTAACCTAATTTTTTGACCACCAAAAATCCTAAACTTGTACATTTATGATAAATTTACCCTATGTTAATTTCCATTAAAATCCCAACCTAGTACATCCATAAACTGCCGCATGTCATCCAACTCAGCAATTTAACGATAAAATGAAAATTAACGAATGGTAAATTTGTCACAGGCGTTGCAATTTAGGATGCGCTTATTTCGCAAAAAATAAATTATTTTAAAATATTTTTTCAAAAAATGATCGCTTACAAAAGTGAAATGAACGAAAAATGTCTTCATCATCCATGAAATTGTTTAAGCATAAATTATTATCGATAATAAAAATATTATTCATTAGCTAATTATTTAAGAGATACAAGCAATCATTTTTTAGAAGATGTTTTTCAAATTATTCATTTTCCGCAAAACAAACGAAGTCTTAGTTTCTCTTGCAAATCCATTGTGAAGTCTTCCCAGATGGTTATGAACAACACATGCAATTGTACCCTTCCTCGATCCAGGTTCGTGAGCTCCATCAAGGTTCTCTCTCAAGGTTTTGAGCTGAGGATTGTCGTTGCTGGTTTTGTGGGTTTGAAGCTCCATTTTTAGGCGGTCTGCAAGCTGGCGAGTGCAGAGTTGACTACACCTGCTGGATCTGAAGGTAAGTTCCTGAAGACGAAGTGATTGCTTGCTTTCCATATAAACCAGAGCTTTGAAGCCACCATCTCCAGATCCGGTGAGTGGGCTGAATTATCTTGTAATTTTTTATATCCATGCTTCAATTCTTGATAATCCCAAATTTTGTTCGTTTCTTCTTTTCTTATTTTCCCCCCCTCTCTTTATATCCTTTTGGGAAAAATCTTTCCCCCCAACATCGGGACCTGAAGAGTCGGTTTGAGCATATGTTCTTCGTCCACGGACATAACAGGAAAAAAGATGCTTTGCTGTCTCAGGGAGGCCTTCCTTACACATTGCGCATATCAATTGTGCAAAATATTTACATCCATTTTGAGTGTTTTAAGTTAGATTAAACACTGTGGGTTTCGGTTGTAAATTATAGGACTGGAAAACACTTGAGGGCGAGTGATTGTAAGTCTATAATTCTCCATTTTTATAGTGGATTATTTGCTAGCTCTCGTCGTGGACTTGGGTTTCGACACTCGAACGAACCACGTAAATCTCTCGTGTTCATTTTTACTTTTCCTCATTTTATTTTCTCTGATAATTTTCTTCTTCTCATGTTCCCAATGTAATTGCCAAGATGCAATCGATTTTATAGCACGCACGAAGATCTCAAAAACATTTTGTCAAACAGGTAATAAATATTTTCATGAAGGTGTTTACATTCAAAGAAAATGAGAGGTTGACATCTAGATCAAATCCCAACATGTTAACATACTAAGAATGATCGACCTAACATCAAACTTGATCGGATTTTTGTTCAAACAGAAACTGGATGTTGATTGTTGACACCTCTGTTCTTGCTTAGGGAAGTTTTAGTCGCTACCGATGATTAAGCAAGCACGTAAAGGCTCTGAAACTCGTCGACGGTGAGGATGAGCACCGGTGGTTGAGTTCCAGCTGAGAATAGAACTAATCAAACTTTACAGCCAAAAAAAATAGAGAGAAACAGAGCACACTCGAGCGGCGATGAAATAGGGACCAGCAGTGTCGGACTGCACTCGGCAGTGGCTATGAAGACTCACTAGTTGTTTTTTTTTTTTTGACCAAAAATGATCAACTTTTGGTTATCATCAACAAGTGATAGACTTAGTCTCACACCAAAAACGATCAACTTTCGGTTATCATCAACAAGTGATAGTCTATGAGAGCAGATTTTGGTCATTTATCAACTAAACAATCGACAACTTGAAGGAATTGACAAATAGTGGAGTTGACAATCTCGGATGCATTCGTCAAAGAAGTAACTGTCAACGTAATAGAATGAAGTAACCGTCAAGGTCGTTGAGTCATTGAAACTGTCAAGGTAACCATCGATATAATCATTTAGTAATGGAGTTAATATAACTATCGAGTAGTGGAGTCTTAGTAACCGTCGAATAATGGATTTGCGGTAACCATTTGTAACCTCCATTTGTAATAGTCAATTGTACGTTTTAATAAGCCACAATGTACTCCTTATAGAGCCCCTCGAAAAAAACAAAAAATCTTGTTATCTTTCAAATCATGTATCGTAGTTTCCAGATATCTTGTCGTTGTTTAAATTTCGGCATATATCATAGATCTAGTTCCTAGATACCTCTACGGCGTTGTGTCTTGTTGTTATCTTACTTTGCCGTCAATTAAATTCTAACAAAGTGTTGTATACTTTAACGTCGATTAAATTCTGTTGAAGTGTATATGTATATGTGTGTGTATCGGTTTTCTTGTGTAGTAGTGATATTTCTTGTCCTTAATCGCAATAGAACCTATCTCCTCTTAATAAAACCGAAGAACATCTTTCAATGAAAGATATTTCGTTCCCGAGACAAATTTCGATGAAACATCTTTTTGGCACGCTTAGTAGGATCAGTGTGATCGATTTGAGGATTAATAATGCTAAGAATAAGGAATCACCCAGAGCCTAATCATGCTGCAGATAACAACCCTAGTGAAAGGGTCAACCGGTCCGAGACCTCAACCACTCCTGCAATGGCAGAGACACGCCATGGTGAGAATGCTGACATATCACTACCCTTACGGAAGAACAATCAAGGAAGTTAGCACCAAACCTTCTTTTGTAGCTACCATGAAGAGGCTATTTGAGGAACAGCCAAATGAGATGGTAAATCACATTATTAGACCTCTCTGATGCGATCAAACCAATGGTCGTTAACGTGATTAACGATGTCATCTCAAGGCTTAGGACATCCAATCACTCCATATCAATCCAACTGAACACGACAGCTTCCAAGTTTATTCCTCCAACTCTTAGTCAATCGAACGGTGGAAATAATTTAGGTCAAGTGATCCCACCACTACTGAAGATTTTACAAAGGCTTGAAGATCCCAACCATATTAATTTTGTCAATGGAAATGACCAAGTTAATCCAATCCACATTAATCTTGTCGACAATAATATGGCAAATCAAAATATGCCAAATAATTAAAATATTCAGTCCATAGGACCCATTCCAAATGTGATTAATGAAAGATCTTTTGGTGTACTTCCACCTCCAAATATATGAAATGCACCCCCATAAACTTAACTTGCCAGACGGCAATAACTAAGACCTAGATCATGACCCTAGGAGGCAAGAAGGTCAGGCTTATTGACCTATCTACCTTGAACCAAAAAGGCAAGAAGGTCAGGTCTATCAGTTTCCAAACATTCAACAAATGACACATATGGCTGCACAAGGAATAGGTTTTAATAGAGGAATTGTTATACCAGTACATAGAAAGCTACATCCCGATTAGGTTAATAACATGCCATACCCAAGAGGATTCAACACTTCTGACTTTGCTCTGTTCACTAATGAAAATGATCAATTGACTTTTGAACACATTGGTTGATTCATTGCCCAATATGGAGATGCAGGAACAAACGAATTTTTTAGGCTTAGATTGTGCCCTTTGTCTTTATGGAAAACCGCATTCACTTGGTACATGGATTTATCTCCTAAGTCAATACATACTTGGGTAGAGATGGAAAAATAATTCCATTTTCAATTTTATAGAACAATACCTGAGATATCGATTGCCGATTTGGCCAGAATCTATTTATACGATAATGAACTGGTCAATCAGTTTTTTGCTCAATTCAAGAGGCCTTGAAATAGACATCTTACTTCTCAGAGAAAGAATTCACAAATTTGACTTTCGATGGATTGAAATTCAACCTTAGAGAATAATTCGAACACCAAAATTTTCATATTTATTCGAATTGGCAAGAAGAGTGTCTAAGTATGAGCAACTATTTGAGGACAAAGATAGAAGATCACATGAAGACTTTTCACAAAACATGCCTTTAGTGTAAAAATATGAGTCAAATGATGAATATGACCAAGATAAAAGTAAAAATCAAATTTACTGATGATAAGAAAGCACATGATGACTCATGATTGTCTAATTTAAAAGAATCGAATGATCAATGAATCATTCGATTATTAAAAAAGGGAGAATTTGTTTACACCAAAAAATGTTTGACCTTTGGTTATTATCGATAAATGATAAACTTACTCTATGAGAGCAAATTTTGGTCATTTATGAATAGAACTGTAAGAAGAGATTTGCAAGGATACCAAATTTAGCACCAGTAAAAAACTGAGGCATCAATGAAAGAAGGCAACTAGACACAATGACATGACTAATGAAGGAATTTTAGATGGAAGAATTGGAAGGGAGAAGAACTTGATGTCCTGGTCCTGGAAGGAGGAAAAGGTATAGCTAATATTTAGGAACTTAAGAATTACACAGTTCTTTGACCATAGAAAAAGGAAAATGATCTTACTGAATTTTCCGAGTCATTTAGGCAGTAGTTGACAGATTAAATGGCATCCCAAATCGCAGGCATTATTTTGAGGTCGAAAACCAAACAAACTTTCCCCGTTCAGCAAGTCTGAACAAAATCAAGTCGACATCAAATGATGAATGCAAGAGTGATTTCAACTGTCATGCGCCAGCTCAAGGATAGCATGGCAAAAACTCACAATCTGTTGTTTATACCATGATAAAAGGAGCAACAGATAAGTAGATTAGTATATCCAGCTAACAATAGTTTGCCTGGGTGGTGTGTTGCCAAGAGTGAGCTTGCAGCAAACACTAGGGTTGCCAACAGACTGCTTCATATTATTCCCACTCTTGATTATGACTTCCAGTGTCCCTGGCAAACACTGCAACAGAAATTCAGTCTTTTCCTGGAACCTAGGCGGGCCAGATTGAATCAAGTATTGCAACAAGGGAATTGCATCTGCCGCGGCCACCAATTGAGCTCTTGAAACTTCAGCTGGGCATGCTGACCAGGCTTGCCGTAGCAGGAAAAGTGCATCTAGAGCAGCTTCTTGAGTTGCCTCAGAACCCGTCTTTAGGGAGGTAACCAGATGAGGAATACTACGTGTTGCAGGCTCGGTGGCTCGTAAACGTGGAAAATTGCCGAAGAGTGCATTCAGAGCCTTTAGATACTTCTCATTGACAGTTCCAGTCGCCCACAGATCCTTCTCAATGGCAGCTACAAGGTGAAAGGACAACATTAAAGAGGTGAAAAGATGTCAGAATAGAAGCAAGGCCATAAATAGCAGCACAGACAGAGCACTAGCCATGTAAGCAAATTAACAGCACAGTTGAGATGAGTGAAATTTGTGTATATTACTTGCATTGAACTACAAGACCAAGTCCCTTTATATAGGGAAATAATGAACAGTAAACCTAAATGAATGAACAGTAAACCTAAATTACATATTATGTTTAACATCCCCCGCAAACTCAAGATGAGTTGAAACAAGTCAACTGGAGTTTGGAGAGAAGATCTAAGAAGCGCCCGGTGGATGTGTCTTTGTGAAGATATCGGCAATCTGATTAGCTGATGAAGTAAAGACAAGTCGTAGAGTGCCACGAAGAACATGAGAGCGGATGAAGTGACAATCTATCTCAATGTGTTTGGTGCGTTCGTGGAAAACATCATTATGTGCAATTTGGATAGCACTGCGATTGTCGCAATGAAGGATTGTCCCACTATGATGACGGACTCCCATATCTTCCAAGAGCCATCGCAACCATAATAACTCCGATGTGGTATCGCAAGAGCTCGATATTCACTTTCCGTACTAGAACGAGCAATAGTGGATTGTTTCTTGCTACGCCGGGGAGATAAGTGAAGTGCCCAAGAAAAACAATAACCCGTAGTGGAACGACGATCTTGAGGGTCACCGGCCCGATCGATCATCGAATAGGCGGTCAACTCCAATGTCGAATGAGCAGAAAAGTGAAGGCCATGAAATAACGTACCCTTGACATAGCGAAGAATACGAAGAAGCTATGCAGCAAAGTGAGTTGTACGAGGCTGTCATGTCTTGGCCGACAATATGAACAGCATGAGCGATGTCGGGCGAGTAACAGAGATGTATAAGGCTGCCAACTAGGCGCTCGATAGAGGGTAGGGTTTTGAGAGGAGTCTCATCACCGGCATCAAATTTGGCATTGATCTCAAGAGGGGTCGTATGACCTTGGTGTCCGTGAGTCTGCTTTCGAGAAAGAAGATCGAGTGGCATATTTGGCTTGTGAAAGATAATATCCGGATGTGTCGAAGTAACCTCCAAGCCTAAAAAATAACTAGTTGTCCGAGATCCTTCATCTCGAACGCGGTGACCAAGATAATGCTTGAGTTTTGAAATTCCGGACGATCATCTCATCTCGATAATAACCATATCATCGACATATAGAAGCAGGAGAATAGATCCACGAAAGTATGTTGAACAAAAAGAGCGTGGTCATGGGGACTAGATTTAAAGCCAAGAGATGCCATGGTGGAGCTAAACTTGGAATACCATGCACGAGGAGATTGTTTCAATCCATATAATGCCGTACGTAATCGACACACTTGGTGGGAAGAATGAGTGTAGCCAGGAGGAGGTACCATATAAACTTCCTCGGTGAGATCGCCATTTAGGAATGTATTTTTGACATCCATCGAAATGCGGCCAACGGACTATGACGGCCGGCGGCAAGAAGAAGACTCACAATGAGCAGTAAGACGTGCAACGGGGCAAAAGTCTCTTCATAGTCAATGCCATATTCCCGAGTAAAGCCTTTTTGCAACGGCGAGCTTTATAGCGGTCCACGATAGTACCATTTTGAAAAGAATCAGAAGAAATTCTGTATCTCTATATTCCATAGCATTATCAATCTGAAAAATCTTAATATCTCGTGAAAATTGGGTTTTAACCATAGCAACAAATCACGATAAATACGAGAAAGTTCAAAACGATTTTCATAAGATAAACCCAAGTATACCGAGAATGGTCATCCACAAAAATGACAAAATAGCGAGCCACCCATGGTGGGAGTGGGGAAGGTCCCATATATCGAGTGAATGAGATCAAAAGGAGCATGAGACACGAAATCACTAGTGCAGCGGTAAAGCATGATGTTTTCCCAACTTACAAGGCAGGCAGTCAAAATGTTTAGTGTCACGAGAACCTAAATGACCACTCGAAATTAAAGAGCTTAACCTAGAAAGGAAGCATGACCTAACCTAGAATGCCAAGTTTCGGAGGACAATTGTGGCGGCAAGACAAGACAAAGAGGTCGAATATTTAGGGAAACAAGCTCAAGAGATGCCCCACTTTGCGGCTGTCCCAAGTGTCTCTGTCCTGTCAGGATCCGTGCGCACGACAACCATGAGAAGAGAAGTGAATATCAAGACCAAGTTCACACAATTGGCCGACGGAGATCAAGTTAAGTGAGAGTTTAGGAACAAGGAATGTGTTAGTTAAAGATAATGTAGATGTGGAAATGTTTCTGTATGACTAACTCTCATATGTGAATTATCGCGGTAAGAATATGAGGTGCATGTAAAGTGGAGGATCTAGACTGAAATAAGGCAGAGTTTGATGTCATGTGATTGCAACAAACAGAATCAAAGAACCAAGAATCAGAAATACCTGGAGTAGTAGACATAGTAGAAGTGCTAGAAATAGGAGGAGTAAAGGTACCAGATTCTCGGAGAATGGTACTATCATTCATCGCTCTTGCCCTGGCACCTCTCAACAAAATGGTAGAGCTGAACGTAAGCATAGGCATATCTTAGATGTTGTACGCACTCTGCTCATCTACGCCTCTTGTCTGAGAACGGTTTTGGGGGAAGCTTGTCACATGCTCTTGTTTACACTATAAATCGTACTCCATCACCTATTATAGGTCACATCTCTCCTTACGAGCGTTTGTATGGTAGTGTCCCAAATTACACTCTTCTACGTGTTTTTGGTAGTGCCTGTTTTGTGCACCTTCATCCACATGAGCGCACGAAATTAGAACCTCGTGCCCATGTATGCTGCTTCCTTGGATATGGCATTGAGCATAAAGGGTATAGATGTTGGGATCCCGCTTCCAATCGTCTTCGTGTGTCTCGTCATGTCACGTTTTGGGAACACAAGATGTTCTCCTCTATTCATCCCTTCGACCCCTCTACTCATGTTCCTTTCTTTACCAATCCTTCCGTGGACTTATTTCCAGAAGACACTACACCTCCATCCACATCTAACTCTTCCATTCTAGATGTACATTTCTCTCATCTTGAAGCAGGACATTCTGGTGACCCTACTTTGACCACTTCTGACGTGTCTGCACCTCCCGCGGATTCTCCACCAGCGGTCATTACCAAGTTGAGATGAGTGAAATTTGTGTATATTACTTGCATTGAACTATAAGGCCAAGTCCCTTTATATAGGGAAAGAATGAACAGTAAACCTAAATGAATGAACAGTACACCTAAATTACATATTATGTTTAACAAGCACAGTGCAACTGTTTTTCCAACTTGAAGCGCATGGACTTGGTCAGAACAATGTGGCACTAGATCAATGTGGTAAATTGACAATAAAATAACTTAAAATGTCAACTATGCTATTCAAGGCGTCGCTAAGCTGTGATTAGTTGGACTTTTACCGTCAAATGAATGAGAGAGAACCATTTTTCTGAACATGCGATATATAAAAGGGCGGCTAGGCTGACAGTCACCGTTATTCTCAAGAATACCGGTGAACTCCCAGCCACATATTCCAACTTCAGAGAGAGGGGCAACCCAAAGGTCAAGTTTGGTCCTCTTTGTCTTATTATAGCCTTTTTTTTTTCCTTAAAGTTTTAGTTCAGGTTATGTGCAAATAATTTTGCAACAGTCATAGAAATATTGCTTCTATAAAAGTACTCCTCCGACCAAAAAATGAAATTTTCACAATAAAATATGCCCTTTAAAGCATGCTTATTGTAATCAATCACATTAAATTGATCAATTAGAGCATAATACATTGATTATCTAGCAAATAATGCATTTCAATCCGAATGTCATATCTCATTAAATAATACAGATCCGCCGTTCATCATATGTTTAAAATAATATATTATTTGAAAATGTCTCTAAACACAAAATTCAAATGATTTATTGGAATACTACTTAAAATTCCATAGAATTGGGTCAATGAGTTAAAAGCAGACATACCTGCACTAGATGCATATTGTAGAATTTTTGTGTTTTTACGTGTCATGAATTTTTTAAAGGAAACTAGTTTTTGAAAATTTGTCAATAAATAAAAAGGATGAAAAAATCATTGTATAACTTGTTTACACATTCTCTGCTTAAGAAGTTTGCAGACTTCAAGGGAAAAAAAACGAACAAAAGAATTGTTTCTTAGTTTGCATTTCAGGAACCGGACAAAGAAGTCATAAGGTTCCAATGTGCAAATTTTGTGGTCAGTAATGGTCCGTCACTCTTTGCACGAGTAACGAACCATTATGTAAGCATTATTCTATATAAAATGAAGATTCCCATAAAGCATGGGGAAGCAAAGGGTCAGTTCGCAATATCACTTTGGAAAGCTCTGCATCTCCACCCTTCTTTTGCTATTTCATTCGGCCATGCGAGTGCAATACTTTCTAGGGCCTTTGTGTCCCTCTGCTGCAACATATGTATCCCAGAACCAAGTACTCGTGCGAGGGGACCAATTACCTGCAGTGTTACTGAGTCCTTCTGGATTTGTTCTTCTGAAAGCAGATGAGACAGAAGCTCAGCTGCCAATTGCTGGACGGCTGGAGCAGTAGAATCGAGTAAGGGGATGAGAGGCTCGATAGCCTGGTGGGAACTAAGGTTGTGCTCAGATCGGCACTGGGGATGCTCCAAAATATTGTCGTGAACTTGTAATGCACTATGCTGGCCATCTGGCCCGAACTTCTGGTCTTGTTAGCAGATGAAAAAGGGGTTCTACCACTTAAGCTGATATATTGACTAAAAATCAATTGTTGGCAATGGGTCAATTTGGATATGAGCATTTTCAACCCGTCATGCTTGTTTGACGGCCCAGTCAAGCCTAGCTGATGTAGTAGCACTTTCGTTCTTCCGCCTATATGAGCCCTCGTTTTTTTAAGATGTTTTTTTCATATGAAGATTTCTAGTTGGAATCTGATTTTGGAATTATTTTTTTGAGTTTCTCATCTGTGTCTAATTGTCTCAGCAAGAAATTTATTTCACCGACAATTGAAT